TCGAATTAGCATAATGGWTTTTTTATTTTTAAAATTTGAAGACCCATTCTTGTTCTATTGACTCTATTTTTCAAATAAAAAAAAATCGCATGGAGCAGCCAAAGTSTACCTGGAGAAAGTAAGATAAACAGCGGCTTCCAGTATTGCCATCCTTACTCCCAYAGATTGCTAATCGAGCTATTGTCACGCCTTCGYCAAGACTTCCTCGTCSTGAAAAAAAGCTAATCCACGTCTTGTTTCTACTCCGAATAATTTCTTACAGTGTTYCATTAGCGTCATAGTGTTTTGATAACGTCTGYGTTTTCGTTTGCGTCGCGCTAGTAAAACTTTAACCTTAACATGATCTCCCTTTCCCTTSAGCATTGAGTCGCTAATAAGGCTTGGCTCCCCCTGAACTCGGCCCAACTCTCCGATCTCTAWTTATAATTTTTGCGATCTAAACCAGTGTCACCTGAAATAGTTTATGGTTCACTTATAAACTGTTATTATAACCTTRCAATGAAAAATACATTAAAGATAAATTACAATACATGTTTTTGGATATAAGTAGATTTTTTTTGAAGATGACAATACCGACTTAGCGATGTCAAAAACTCAGTAAATTCTAGAGATTCGCTCATTTGATATGTACCAACATGCAATTTATAATATTGCATAAAGTTGCTGAAATATTCCTGTTTGAGCACGTTTGACCCGTAGACGTTACACATGGGTTTTAGGATACTTAACCATTTTAATATACTTATGGCTTCCTTTCTAGGCTCCCTGGAAGTACTATTTATTACTGACTTTGTATGTCAGTTAACTGATTATTCTTTCCACGTTGCAGACTAAACTGCACAGAACATTTCCTGCCTGAAGATTACAAACAATACCAAAAAGAGGTATTTCAAGTATTATGTGCAGGTCTATTAGGTAGAAAGACACCGGGCTTGCAAACAAATATTTTTCTTTGAAAACTCTACATTCATAGTRTGGGAAGAAGATGTCTTCTCGTGACAGGCGTAGGTTATTGGAAAACCGACTACAGCTTTGCTGTAGTGTATCACTGAAAGCCGAAATATTGCATGGATCCTAAATTAACAAGAATTTTCAGTATTGCATACGAAACGCATTAAGAGTATTGGATTAATATAAGATAACAGTCTTTAACCGGAGAACTATCCTTTACAGTCAACTTGCACACACCACACCACACCACACCACACCACACCACACCACACCACACCACACCACACCACACCACACCACACCACACCACACCACAAAGGCAAAGGCAAAGGCAAAGGCAAAGGCAAAGGCAAAGGCAAAGGCTAAGATCACGTGATCAAATGCTTGAAATAAATGGAGTATTTGATTACTTATCTATCTATTCAAAAATGCGCAACTAATATCAACTCATAGTTTTCAAAAAATTGGGCTTGGTGCAGCTCGATATTTTGTTAATAATTTTGATTTATAAATTACTCAATTGTTTATTTAATAATCTCACTTAAGCTTTAAAATATACAGCCAATGACAAGCGGTATAAGACTCGCGTTTTTATTAGCCAATCATAAAGCGACTTCAGCCTTTGACAGGGTCTTCGCTGTAGCGTATTCGCTATTCTCTTTGTTGACTCTATTAACCCTTTTCCTTCCAAAATTCTGGGAAAATTTTCGGCACTGACTTCACGGTTGCTAAGGGAACTGATGCCGATTTACACAACCAAAGTCTCAAACTCTCGAGGGATGCCTGCAATGTTTTTGCTCGTGTCTTYAGATAGCGAACAGCTCGTTCAAAGCACAGCAAAACTTGTTTTTTTTAAGGTCAAACTCTAGCACAAGAGCCTTTAGACYTACATTATTAAGCTCGGCTAGGCGGTATAGGCGCTCTTCTGGAAGAAATCAGAGGTGGAAAGCGGTTTTATAAGGAAAATGGCGATCGTCAGTTGTTTTGAAGCCGATGGCGCCATTGGATGGCGCCATTGAAATCGACTCCCTGGCTGACTTGTGTTTGGCTTCATGACCTACCATGCATGCTAATTTCGGCAAGTTTGGACTTCTAGAAAAAGCAATCGGCTGAAAATTTTKTGGGTAGGAGCGAATGACTTGGCACTTTAAAAAAAATATTGAAAATGTAGAGTACAGAGTAGTCGCTTTTGAGAAAATACRCTGTTACCCAAAAATCTTTGCGAGTGCAACCCAAGAAAGCATATGCGTCGCGGAGTGGACGAAAAAAGGAGCTGTCTCTCGGCTTGTCCAATGAACCAAGGGACAATAGGTGACAAATKTAAAGCATGAATGTAAGGACTTTGAGCAGTAGAACTGGAAAGAAATTAAGCCATTCTCTAGTGTTCTTATCTACTTGTAATCGTGCAGCTCAAATCTCACCAACACAAAAGTGACTGACAATGGCTGACATAGCATCTACAATGTAATGCGTCAAGGGTGTTCTCGTTTTTTTTACATTTTCTATGCTGTATTTTCAGAGAAAACCCCAAGCAATGAAAGGAAGAACATCGAGAAGCCTATGTAGAATGCAAGGGAATTTAGATGGAGGATTTAGTTGGCTTATTGTGCTCGCCTCTTTCCTGCAGCAGTTTATAGTACTTGGAACTCACAACGTATTTGGACTTTTTTATATTGATTTATTGAACGAATTCAAAAAAGATAAGGCCGCAACAGGTATGAGTCAACGATTTAATTCATTTTTGGATACCGTAGTTTTAACATTCTGCTTTACTGAAGGTATGGAATGGTATAATAGTTTAACGGTTTGAATGTTTTCAGCTTGGGTTGGATCTTTGTCCTTTGGTATAACGTTTCTGCTTGGCCCATTGTCAACTTCGTGTTCAGCTAGATATGGTGTCCGGGTGGTATCGTTAACTGGTGCACTACTCTTTGGTATAGGACTTTTATTGTCTTCCTTTGTTAGTGACTTAAATCAAATGTATCTCACTTACTCAGTGATCGTTGGCGCYGGRGGCTGTTTCTCATACTACTCATCAATATTGATACTTGATGAATATTTCTATAAAAGACTCGTTACGTCCAATGGACTTGCTTTGTCTGGCGCAGGTGTTGGAACACTGGCTTTGTCTCCAATAGTTGGATCCCTTCTAGAGACCTTTGACTGGCGGAGCACRCTWCGAATCTTAAGCGCAATTTCATCTATTCAGATCCTCTGCTCTTTTGTTCAGTTTTTCGTTMAATCTCCTAAAAGGTTATTACACTGTGACTTTCAAGAAAAGACAGAGAGAAAAAGTAGATTTGTAGATTTGTCTTTGTTCAAGAACAAGGCCTATATAGTTTGGATCGTGGTTGTTTCGTTAGTTCTATTTGGGTTTTATATTCCATATGTTCATTTGGTAAGTATTCATTTTCCTACAGTTGATTTATTTTGTTTTATTGCTCCTCGAGTAGAGTCTGCCTTATGACTTCTATGTATACATAGAAGGCTCTCATAAGATGGTTTATGTATAGTTTAAAACACTCGAGAGAGTGTTTTATCAGGTATAAAGAGGTACACTCTCTCGAGTGTTTTAAACGGCTTAAAAAACTCCAACACTAATTTGAAACTCAAATCCGTTAAAATTCTTGGAGAAATTGCCGTACAAATATGTTCAGAGATAAATGGGGCAAACTGATCATGCGCGAATCACTTTACAAAGCACKSTTGYYATCCCACATTGAAWAHGCATAAAGTAAAATAGAAGCGCTCTTGGCTGTTCACTGAAATCAATTGACATCCTGAATTGGTCAATGATCAGGTTTCAAACCTAAGACCTTTGCTAGGGTCATTAACCCTTTAACGTCCGCGATTTATTTTGGATTTTAGGTTGTTTTTGAGACTGATATTTCAAAAAATTAAAAGTACCCCATATATGGAGTTGTCAAATCAAACTATTGTAGATTCACATTCTTATGAGTTTGTTTACATCAGCGACGCTCGGTGAATTTGAGACGGGTCGCTAAATTAGCCAGCACTCGCTCTCAAATTCGCCCAAAAAACGTTTTTAAGTGATTTTTCGAGTCATTTGCTGCCACAGAAGCCCCTAGGACTGCATTAAAAAGCTCGACTAGGCGGCAGAGACACTCTTCTGGAAGAAATCAGTGGCGGGAAGCGATTTTTCGAAGACAATGTCGCCAATACGAAGTTAGCTTTGAATTGCCGACGTTATAGAAAGGTCGCCTCCCTAGTCGTTCTGTGGCAGATTTCAGAACCTACCAAGGTAAAATTGGCAAGTTTTAACATCCAAAGAATGCAATCGGTGCAATATTTTGCCTGTAGGTGCGAGTGGCTTGGCACTTAAAAAAAACTATGAAAACAGGAATGTCGATTGCTCCCTGTCGAGTTTGAACCAGACTCCCATGATGCACATCGGCCGCGCAATTGACAAATCTAGGTTTGCTGTGCTTGGTGTCGAAAAGGGGGCTGTGGCTAGATCTGCAGAGACTTCTACAAAACAAAAATGCAAAAGACCTGGAATAGCCAATTTCAAAAAACGTAGAATTTCGATTTGCAAAAGATGATTTCGAGTCTAAAACTGGAGACGAAAAGACGTGATTCCCAGTCTTGTCGGTGTACCAAATAGTCGAAATCTGGGCATCCCTATTTTTCAGGGGTCCATTTTGCCAAAGTATCGCGCTTGTTGTGAGTACATTTGGTGGTCTACTTTTGCGATCTCGGAAACTTGTAATTTTTAGAAGTATCGTTCCTGCAGGATGTTAGAGAAAGGTCGCCTCCCTAGTCGTTCTGTGGCAGATTTCAGAACCTACCAAGGTAAAATTGGCAAGTTTTAACATTCAAAGAATGCAATCTCCTGCAGGAACGATAATCACTAAATCGGACGTTAAAGGGTTAAAGAATGTCTTTGAAAATGCTCTAAGTTCTTGTTAACATAATGTGTATAGACCCCTTGCAGTTCATGGGAATGCAGCTCCAACTGGATGACAAAACAATGGATTCTAGTTCCCAAGAGGTTAAAAATCTTTTGTTTTGTCCTCCAGATGAAGCTGCTTTGACGTCACATGCAAGGGGTCTATATCATCATTGTGTATATGCACAGCCATATATGGAAGTCGTATACGTACAATAGATCATTTTCTATTGTTATCATTAATTGTATCATATCACTGGCGGATCCAGCACTAGTTCACCAATTTGCATCATAAAACAAATCCGTGAAAATGAACCATTTTGTTTTATGATGCAAATCAGTGAACTAGTTGGATCCGTCAGTGCGTGTTTTTAATCTCGCGCCACGATGATGGGTTATTTCAAATACATCCAATCACGAAAATGTTCTTTTTGCATCCGGGGTGGCGCTACCATTTGTCTCTGTTCAGAATTTGCTTAAAATCTCCATCAAACGTTTGTTAGAAGCTCGTTTTAACTGCTGTCAGCGTGGTCTGAAAACAGAAAGGACTACAAACTGAAATGGGAATAACCATCCAGTATATTGGGGAAAATGAATAGCATTTTTCAAGTTTGGACTGGGACGAATCCATTTCGATTCATAGACGGTTTTGCTTTGAACTTCTCAAATGGTTAATCGTGCGTTTGATAAAAGTCATGCCCATTTTGCGTCAGTATTTCAGGGGCGGATCCAGGGGGGTGCTTTGGGTGCGGACGCACCCCCTCTTTTTTGATGACGTATTTTTTTATATGTCAGTATAAACGTTTTTTTCTGCTGTTTATACTCCTGTTGAACTTTTTATCGAGAAAACGAGTAGCATAAACTACATGCGTCTGCCACTATGCTAGTTAACAATCTATTTGAGTAGTGTAGTCAAAGATCTGGTCAAATTGTGCATAATTTTCTTGCTCTAGGCAATAATGATCAGTTACATATATGACTGAAAAAAGCACCCTCCCCCCTTATAATATTCTGGAACCTCCCCTGGATTGGGATAAGCAATAAACGATAGTTTGAAGCGGTTTACTGGCGAAATAAAATGCAAGGGATGGTTGGGAGAATACAAAAAAAGATCTGTAAATCACGAGCCGTCAGGCTTCAAGCTATTGTTTATTGCTTTTATAGTATAGCCRACGTCCGCCATTTAGACTCAAAAGTCTTTCCAGACAGCAGGCTAGTTTACCGGTTAAATAAACCATAGCTTTTCTCATGAAATCCGCCAATCAGCGCGCGTGTTAGAATTAAGCTATAATATAAATGTAGATAGGAAATATTTGCCTAATTATAAAAGCTACTTCAGTCATAATTTGATTGATGTAACTGACATTCATTGCTGAGTATTGTGTTTGATTTGTTCCAGGTACGTCACTGCCAAGACCTTAACATCTCTATGAAAAATGGTGCAATACTAGTGGGCTATCTCGCTATCGCACAGACCATAGGRAAGATTGTTTTTGGAAGCATCGCTGATCACCCTCGAGTGAATCGTATTTACTTGTATCAAATGTGCCTGGTAGTCTGTAGCATAACGACCACTCTTCTTCCAATAATGAATTCCATACAAAGTATCATTGTCTACTGTTGGGTTTTCGGCTTTAATGATGGATGTTTTGTACTTTTGATYGCTGTTCTTACTGGGGACATTGTTGGAAAAAAGAACATGTCTTCTGCGTTTGGTATGATGTATTCCTTTAGCTGTATACCGATGATGCTTGGTCCTCCAGTAGCAGGTATGGATTGTATTGTATGGAAATGAATCAAGCAACAAATGTATGCAACTGATAATGTTTAATATTGGCGCTTGTATATTCTAAGACCGAAATGCATTGTTTGACGTTCTATCGTCGTTCAAAAGGAGTTTTCGTGCTTTCAGAGTGGTTATACACCCTTTTAATAAGTCCCGAGGTATTGTGTTTTCCGCACTTGACGTCAAATTCATTCTTTTGAATTCCTTTTGTATTGTAAAAATTCTAAAAGAATAAATTTGACGTCAAGTGCGGAGAACACAACACCTCGGGACTTATTAAAAGCGTGTATACAAAGCCGCATACCGTCAAGAGCTTCAGTGGAAAGCAGACTCCTTGCAGTTCGTGGGAATGCAACTCTAACTTTAGGATAAAAACAATAAATTCCTGTTCCCAAGAGAGCAAAATTCTTCGTTTTGTCCTCCAGATGAATCACATGCAAGGGGTTTATTAAGTTTGTAGTTTTAAGGTTGTAACGCAGCTATCGTGGGTATTTATAGTAACAATGCATTGTGGTCTTGAAATGCATTATGCAGTATCWCAGTATTCAAGGTTTTCTGAAATAGCTGAATATCCCGGCTTCAATGCTTATTCATCAGATTAATAAATCATTTCTTTATTATCTCAGGATGGATGTATGGGATTGTCGGTTCGTATGTCCCAGCATTCTTCATGGCTGGAGCGTTCACAACGCTTGGAGTATGTCTTCTGTTYGTTGTGCCCATTCTCCTACCGAAAGAAATTCAAGAACAATGGRMAATGCGAAGTACGCGCCAGGAGATAAAGTTGTCATCAGACACGAGTGAAACTACCAAAACATGGTCTGTCAGCAGCGGTGAAACCAGCAATAAATACGGAACCCCTGTATTTCTGGATACAAAAGTACAGGARAAAGATTCCATTCCACAWGTACTGTTACTAAACAACGACAAGAGACRCAACAGTATCAGTTTAGTTCTCGAGAAATATTTTTCAATGCAGCATTTAATGACTCAAAGGGAGAGTCTTTTATGCAGAGTCTACTCTAAAGACAATTTATACGACATTTATAATCCAACTACGGACTGCACAGTGAGGGAGACCGACGTTTAATATGTACATTAGAATAATTCAAAAGTGTAATTTAACGTACCTGGACTATAWGGGAAAGAGATAAGTCAATCTATAGCTAGAAAGAGCTTTTCAATGAAACGAGTAGTCAATATCAGACTAAAAAGTGCTTTGATTTTCATCATTCGACTCGAAAAAATGTTTTCTATATTGTAGTTATAGATTGACTTATTTCTTCAAAAGTGACCATTCGATGACATTCACCGATATGTAACATGATGATACGATTCTTTGGAGTAAACTTTTTGTTATACAACTGAAACTATCACTGGAAAAATCGCGCGCCATAAAGGTTGTAAATTTGATGTAAATATGATGGAAATTCCATCAAATTTACATCATTTTGGACACTTRCATCATATTTACATCAAATTTACAAYCTTTATGGCGCGCGATTTTTCCAGTKTATTAAGAAACAACTCATAGGTGGACCTCGAGGACAATAATCTRAAATGGGAAATTTGAACAGGAAKCTACGATTGAATCAATACAAAGTATCCGTGCATCGCAACATCTATACTCTGCGAACAGATGAGAAAAGTAGCKCTGTTCGCAGAGTACAACATCTACTAATTTCCATTGAAGATTTTTTCCTGATCTGTCAATTATKGACACTTATTTTTGCGAGTAACAAAAAAGACAATTGTATTGTGTTGAGKTTGATTTTGTTATTTCGTTATTTTATGGTTCTAGAAAGATGACATTAGAGTGCTTTTCATAAACACTTGAAATACAGCTTATTGTACAATCTTACTGTTTATGACAAAGAAATTAGTCGCGCGTTCACACTTTGCATTTGCCACTGCACTGAAGAAGATCRCAGTTGCGATCGAAACGTCTGCAATAACTAATTTGTTATTCAAGTAAGAGACGACTCAATTTCTTTGTCATGCAACATCCTAGCTGCAACTTTAAAACTATTACTTTTATCATGTTTTCTTTTTTTTCGCTGAATCTTTGACTGCATTATACTATAATTTACGGATTTATGAAAACCACTCTAAACTCGGGGAAAAAAATGCTTGTTATTGTATGACATTGTTTATCTTTGTCCCTATTAAAGGCAAGTTACAACGGTGTTTCCTGGGATATAGCTAGAGATTTACAATAGACTCGCGATGTTGACTAGTATTCACCAAACTGTGGACTTTCATAAAACCAGCAATCTGATTGGCTATTGTACCAGGCTTGATTGCAAAYGTTTTCTTATCTTCTTATTCTTCATAAATTTGTCTTTTTGGTGATGCTAAAACATATAATCGTGAACTACTAATGACAGTCCATTAGGGCGAATCTGACTATCAACTATCTCTACTATCAACTCGTAGTCCACCCGACCCCGTTAAAAATATCCGCAAAATAGAAATTATTGAGTCGATTTTGTTTCATGGATGATCGATGTAGCGTTGCTATACATGCATCAGGAGTTTCGGAGAACAATGCGACCGCCATCTTGAAAAGTGGGACTCGAATCACTAAATCATAACTCCTAAAGAAATTAAAAGGTTCTAAGCTAATGTCAAGTTAATATAATATACGATATAATGATAGATTAGTTGATTGAGCAACTACGAAATTTTTTCTAAAGCAAAACAGTGATTTGGGGCTCACTTTTCAAGATGGCGGACGCATTGTTCTCTGAAACTCCTGATGCATGTATAAAAACGTGAAATATTCCATTTTCGAATTTAACGCGAAAAACCGCTGCTTTATTTGACACAGGTTCTGTTTGCGCAAAGATCCTACAAAACAAAAGAGAGAGCACGAGAAAATGTCGTTATTACAATAGCATTGGACATATATAAACATTGTCTCCAAATTGAGACTAACACTGTATTCCCTAATGACCTGTACCTTTTGGGAATACAGGGTTAGACTCAACTCGGTGAAAATGCAAATAGTTAGACCAGGCTTGTTTTGATATTTCGCCTTGATTATTTTGTTTCAAGAGTTAAAGGTTTTCGCTCTAGTGTTATATACAGAGAACACATCGTAGAGTTATGTCTGTATAGCCCCGTTCAGCCCTCAAAACACATCGTAGAGTTATGTCTGTATAGCCCCGTTCAGCCATCGTTTTCAATGTTGCATGGAAGCGTGGTCATGTATGCATGTCATCATCACAAAGGTCATTGTTTTTCATGTTTTCTGCCCAAAGTCTATTGATTTTTATCCACCGTTATAGCTATTTAAATGAACCATAGTTAGTACTAACTATGAATGAACTTTAGGCTTTCTCAAGGACATTGTAGTAAATCAGCTATAAACAACGTGTACGTGAAGAACACGCTGTCCCAAATAAAACTACAGAGATATAACTACCGTATACGCCATTAGAGCGTTTTTGGGAAATTGACAAAGAGCGGTTATTACATGGGCTCGCGGAGATTAAGTATCTCCAAGAGACCATGTAATATTCTGTCTATCTCATGATTATATATGCAAAGGATACATAGTTGACTTTTGTAGTTGACCTCTACCTGGGCAGGATTGGGATGGAGTGTGGCGAAGCACCATAACAGTGACATATCAAATTGACATACCGTATTTACTCGAATAGACGCCGCGGCGTTTATTTCATTTTTCACGATCCAGCTGCGGCGTTTATTCGAGGACGGCGTCTATTCGGGGACGGCGTTTATTATATACTTTATTCAGTTCTACATACATTACTTTAAATTGTATATTTTTACTTACAAACAGTAACGAATCTCAATATATAAATGTCGTGTTCATTTTGTCTATTCAATTTWTGATTTAACTCTGTTCTATTTCAACATCAATGTCCTCCTTGTGGTCRGAATCTAACAGCTGCTGAGATCAAACAAGTACAGTCACTTCGAAATAAAARATGTTCTAAAAGAAAATAAATTCCTATTGCTGGTATCATTATTTCCTCAAATTGACGCCGCACCCAGATGCGGCGTCTATTTGGGGGCGGCGTCTATTAATATTTTGAGCTTTAAGTGCGGCGTCTACTTGAGGGCGGCGTCTATTCGGGGACGGCGTTTATTCGAGTAAATACGGTATACATATCAACAAAAGAAATGATTCAGTTGATATCTACACACTTTTCTTGTCTAGTTTGCGTGATTGTGAAGAATGGTAGTTATGTTAGTTATTTTGGTAGTTGTTTTGAGTCTGTTTTGTAAATTGAACCCTATTTCTAACGAATCCCTTTTTTWACTAACAGTCCCTAACTGAAAAGCACACTTTTTAAAAATGAACATATCTTCATCCGCACATGAATAATCTCCTTGAATCTTTGGATCTTTGTTTTTTAAYTTGATAATTTGTGTTTGAAGTTAGTTGAACATCGGTAAGTTGGTCAAAGCGTCGATTTTAACTAACCGGTATGGAAGTACATCCAAGATCATACGAACCAGACAACCATTAAAAGAAATGCTTTTACACAAACAAACAAACAAAAAGTTTTTTAAAATGCTTTGGTCAATATTTAAATTCGTCCAATCGCCATATTTGTTTATTTCTGCGTACGAATAACACTTAATGCAGTCTAAGATCGTCATGAAACCTGGCTCACACTTGGTCCCTCCCCCCCCAAAAAGAAACAAAATGCTGAGCATCTCGAGTAATCATTCTTGCAACTGTGCAAAATTCTATTTTTACGAACATTACTCCAATCATTTGGCGATATCAGAGATAAAAATTTTCTTCCGTGTGTGGCCGCTGAGCATTCGCTAAATTTCTCTATTAGAAAAAAAAGATGGTTTTGGGTTCAGCAATTAAAAAAAAAAATGTAAACACAATTTTAAGGATTTAATTTGTAACAAGTGTGAATCAGGCTTTAATATTGATCAATCAATTGTTATATCATTGGTTTCCTCTTCTCTTTCCGCCACGTCTTCTTGGTTGATTTCCTGGATGACTTCCTGATCGACTTCCAGGGAATCCGCCATGATGGCTACCAGGCGGCCCGACTGGTGGGCCTCCTCCAAATAAACCACATCGTTTAATACAGCCATCAAAGCAACATATTTGKGATCTKGGACAGTCGCCGTTGGATTTGCAGTATTCGCTCTTGTCGTATTTACGGTTACACTTCATGGGGTTTATCTTTGGACACCTCGTCGCTGGAAGAATAACAATTTTATTCACTAAAATTAGACGAAYAGAAAGATATAGAGCTAGTGAAATATTAATCTTAGTTTATGTCTTACACGAGTTTCCATTTGAATGCAATAATTAATCACTTGTACCCAAGAACCTTTGCAATATTTCGTTTGTTTTGAAAAAGATAAGCTGTTGTAAGTTGCTCTCTGATTGGTTCAAGTTCATCCTGAAAGAACGCGCAATGATAATCCTCTTTCCAAAAAATCAGCAAAAACGTTAAAACCACTCAGATGAAAGATAGGAGCTTGGATACACGTGCCTTTAAGAAAGATGCATTTCTTTTATCGTTTTCTGCTTTTTTTCAAGCACGCGAGCAGCAAACCGATCTCTGTTTTCTGATATAAACACGGCCATCCACCATTTATTTTTTTCATAAAATCAACTGAATAAATTAATCAAAAGAAGACAAATAAGTACAAACATCTAACTTACGTCGAGGAATCACTGGCATGGTACATCGCTTTGTACATCCGTCATGACAACATATGTTGGATCCTGAACATTGGGCGTCGGTTTGGCAAGAACCTGCTATCGGTCCAGGTGGACAAGGTTTTGGATCCGTTGGTGGACATTTACCTTAAGATGATAATTGCAATAAACTACAATCCCCTCCAAAATATCATCCCGCTTTAAACTCAATWTTTCTTAAATCGTGYAGTGTGCWCTCTGTTCAAACTCCGTTYCCCAGTTCAGCTATGTCTGAGCGSCAATGCAATTCAGATATCGCTTGAAGCCCACTCCAACATTTAGTAAGAAAATTGGATTTGAAGTAATGTTAAAATACCGACAATGAGGACTTGACGGGAATTYAAAATTCRCTAAATTAGTTCCAGTCCTAGACGCATACCTYGTKAATAATYAATGAGTTTGAGAAAGTTTTACCAAGGATTCATTTAACAATGACGAGCCATGAARAAACAAAGTACTAACAGGSTGCTAATAATCGACAGGATTTAATGGAATTGAACTTCTATTTTCAGTGACGCACAGTTTAACAAATMAAAGATATCCGAAAAATAAAACACAAAATGTTTAATCACATCCRTTATCTAGTCGWGYACATGTAAGGGACTTACCGGGGGGAGCTGGTGGGCCTGGTTTTGGTTTAGAAGGCAAAGCTTTAATGCACYGTTTATGGCAYCCTGTATTACAGCATCTTTTGTTGGGAGGACAGTCAGAATTCCCTTCACATTCATTCTTAGGTCTGACGAGTGGACATTCAATGGACAAAGCTTGAGGGCACATATCTGGAAGCACTATAATTTAATTCATAACATCCATATGCTCAGTTGTAAATGACTCGATAAGTAATTTA